CTACATGAGCCAAGCACAGATCGCAATTAACTATTAACTGAGCAAGCATGAATTCCCGGCGACCTTACGATCGTCATCGTCCACTTCCTTCGTAGGCGTTTAAACGTTTATTCTGAAGCTCATTCATTTATCGAGAAATTTATTATTTCTACTTTATAACGCGCAATTTATTTACTTACAACGCAGAAAATTAATTTATCGTAATTAATCAATTAATAATTTTTGTTTCTATTTTAATACTTTTTGATATTTTTTTCTCAAATTTCTAATCGTAAAATAATTTATAAAATTTTTTTTTTGTTCGAATATATTACTTAATATCTTTTCCTTAAGTTTTTAAATAGTTTACAGTTTTTAAGTAATTTACAGAAAAATAAATGTGTATTATAATTAATTAATTAATCGATTGGTTGATAATGTTTTATTACGCGCGCGTTTAGCCTTGTTGACTCTCATTATATCGCGTCGCTGCCTTTGCATTAATTTCCTAGTTAAGCACAAATCGCAGTTAACTAATAACCGAAGAAGTATAATATTTCATGTCAATTTTTATGTATATCTAGTATTTTTCAATGTTTTAAAATTTCTTGGTAATAATATATTCTATATGATTTTATTATTTTTATATAAATATCTACGAATTTACTTTTAATGAACATATTGCAATAATATTTATACAAGTTTTATTATCATGTAAACGTTAATATTTCTTTTAATTTACGAACATTGATAATGTAATATAACTTTGAAATCTCTGCAAATTAGTTATATTTTAATTTATATTAAAGTTCTCTCTTTCTTTTGTCATTTTACCTCTGCAGCGTATGTATTTAATAACGAAACTTTTACCTCAATTCACGCGGAAGACCAACTTTAATATCCGAGTATGGGGAGCTATCGCGTGAAAGTTCGATACTAATATTTCCTGTCGTCGATCGAAAGCCACAGAGTGCACTTGAGAGCATCCGCGACAGTCTACTGCTCGCGTGAACTTACCAGTTCGGAAGTTATCCGCGTCGCGATCTTTATCCAATGTTTACTATCATACCACCGCAAAAATCTTTTTCATTTTATTCTTAAACGAAATTATGCCAAAAAAATTTGCAAATAGATTAATCGACAAAACAGTTTAATGTCTTTATGAATTTCAATTCAAAATAAATCTTAATTGTTCAGAGTAAATTAGAGTTGTCCTTCTTCCAAGGTTTAAAGATACAAGTATGACAAATATTTTATGAATAAACAATTGAAATTTCTATCGTACGATTGAGAGTGAAGAGTTTTGTTACGCAATTGTTCTCAAAGTGGAAATTTAAGTTGCTATTTAATTTTAAATATTACACAATTCCATAACACAAGTATAATTATTCTCAATTTGTCTTACAGTAAGATCGGGATTGAGAGCGCATTCAATATTCGATGGGTCGCACTTTCTATTCTATTAAACCCATTCTCGACGATTGGTTTTTCACGCCAACATCGACAGGCGACAGACAGGATTTTTTTCGTTCTGAATGAAAAAAGAGGCGACCGCTTTTATGCACGCTGACAGCATCAGAATGCAGATCATAAAGTGCAGTTAGGTTAATTGATAGGTACACGCTCGATCGATTCCTTGATGCCAGGGACACGCATACGAAATTACACGTTGCATATCCCGGGAAAGTGATGCAATTAATAAAACTCGGCTTTCGTTCCTGTCGGTGACGTTCTTTCTTTCCGCGAATAAACTACGCGGAATAAAATTTCACTTAAGATTTTTAAATTGTCATAAAATAATTCTAATTATTTGCTGATGTAAGCATGTATAAGTCTAAATATGAAGAAGACGTATATTTATATCAATTAATAATTTCGCTTAATTATTTTTTATATTACTAGGAAAAATCCAGTACAATCGCTATGCGGTATTTTATTCAGTAATATAATATGATGTAAAAAGGTAGACGTAATAATGTGTTCCAGTCTTAAATGACGGTTTCTCCTGCGAGATAAATTTACGAAGTTCGTATTTAGCGAATGAACGAGCGGATAAGAACAACGAACCCGACATCATGTTTTCGCGTGACATTAATTAAATTGTCCTCGCGCGCGCGCACGTGGAGCGTAATGGAGGTGGATATAATGAGCGTATTTAATCAGACTGTTTAATCAAGGCCTTTTACAACCAGCCGCGCAGTATCGTAAATAACCCTCGCTTGTATTCCCGACGCGTCCCTGTAAAAACGTAATGCGCATTCACGGACGATAGCCGCATAACAGTATATTTTGGGTGTAACAATAGCACGCAGAACCCTCGTAGTTCTCTTTTATTTTCGCACGCAATAACTAAATTGAAATTTTCCCGAACAAATACTTTTCAAAACGCTTCACTTTACGTTTTTAACGTAAGCATATTATTCAGCTAAAAAGCATATAAATATAAGAATGATGTATTAACTTGTTAATTAACTGTAAAAAATGATGAATATTTTATGATTATATGCCAATAATAGTAGATTTACACTGCCTGCGGTTAATAAATAATGTATAGATAAATTTAATATTGCACCAGCCATGGTGATGCAATTTAGATGACGATATTACAGGATTAATTAATGGGAGGAATGTGAATATTGCGCCACTTGGGGATGCTCTACATTATGCGATATTGTCCACAATAGAGACACTGAAATGAGATTATTGTGCCACGCGAGCCGTATTACAGTCGCGATTGAATTACATCCGGCAAGCCGTTACAAGCCGAGGAAAGCTCCAGTCGCCATCGCAAGTGAGAAACGCCGCAAAATTACGTCGAAAGAAACGCGACGATAAATCCTCGGTAGGATTGCTTTCCGGAATGGACCGGAAGAGAAATTCTAGGCAAGGAGAGAGCGCGGTGGAGGACGTAATCGGAGATGAAAGATGACTGAAGGTCGACCGAACATTTTGCGCTTGCCACTCGCTGTAATTTTCCAGCGGGAAAGAAAAGTCGTCGTTTTTGTCACTTCAACGAGTTCGGGTTTTTCATGGTAATCGAGGGAACTATTCAGGACTCGAGCCTTACGACCGTTGGTTTGCGCCATATTTATTCTCTTGCCGATAGTTCCACGAGACTTTACGGAATTTCGATAAAAGTAGAACCTTAATGGAACTCTATTAACGAGCTTTGTTGTGCTCAATTTATATCCACCTATACTTCACTCAAGTGTTTTATTTAAGAATTTTAAATACAACACAAATAAATGCAATCGTGACTTGCATATTATCAAAAATTTAAAAATTCTGAATTATTACCACACAAAAATTAAAACAATAGAAAAATAAAATTTGTTTATACTGTTCATAAATTATGTAACAAATATTTACATTTATATTAAAAAGAAAATGATTTATAAAGGCTCTTTATTAAATAAAATTAAAACAACCAATATATAAAGCTATCAAAGAACCGAGCAAGGACTTTGTGCTCAAGATTTATTATTTACAATTATGTAAGCTCAAAGAACAAACGTTTCGACCTTGGTTTAGGCCATTCTCAGTGTGATAAGCAATTAACATAATAAACTTTTAGAACAATTGCAAAACTATACATATTAAAACAGCAAGAACGTAACCGAATGCCGCAAACATCTCGAGGCAGATAGGCGTTGTTTGTAAAGCATGAATATGTGACGTCACTAGAGTGACGTTAGAAACTACAATTTTTTTATCGATTCTTAACTAGTGTAATATCGCTCAAATGTGTTTCTGAGTTAATAATTTTATCTTTAGCTATTCATGCTTTACAAACAATGCCTATATGCCTTGAGATATTTGCGGCATTCGGTTGCGTTCTTGCTGTTTTAATATGTACAGTTTTGCAATTGCGCTAAAAGTTTATTATGTTAATTGCGTACCTATCACACTGAGGATAGCCCACGACCGAAACGTTTGTTCTTTGCGCTTACATCATTATAAATAATAAATGAGCACAAAGTCCTTGCTCGGCTCTTTGATAGCTTTATATATTGGTTGTTTTAATTTTACATTTATAGTTGTATCAAGTTTAATAGTAAAAAGTTGTAGATTAATATTATTATAAATTATAATAATATTAGCATTTGGAAACTTCAACAAAATTATGAAAATGATTCAGAAATCCATGGTTTAATCTAAAATTCCATTAACAATCTTAAGATATCATGAATACTACACTCTGATCCACTTGACCCATCAATTGAAACCCGCTGCATCCACGAGATTGCAGGAACATGTACCGGTTTCTATAAATCACGATCTGATCGACGTTTTAGCCAATGGGGCGGTTATATATAACACGCAGCGTTTCATGTGTTATATGTCTTATATGTCCCTTAGACGTCCCATCACCCTCGCGGAAATAAATTCTATGAAAAAGTCGGACTTACCGTTACGAGATATTTCACATCTCCGTTTTCCAACCGAAGTTGTTTTTTCTTTGCAGAAAGCTGCCTGGCGGCCGTCGCTGCACTGTGTGTTTTCATTAAAATTACACGAATCCATTCTGAAAATATACGTATATTTTATACAATATAATAGCAATATTATGCCCAATAAAAATTATTAGGTTAATGTAAAAGTTTCTCTGCAAAAAAGATTGCTTTCCCGTGAAAAAATTAAATAAAATAAATTTGTTTTAAATAAAATTAATTTTCATACTCTAAGAGTTTTTTAAATTAGTATAAAATTTGTTTTTAGGCAGAAAAAATATGTTGGGATTAATTGCGACTAATTTAATTAATAAAAATTAATTATTAGGTATTAATTTAAAAGTCCTATAATTCTGTTTTCAATTTTCTTAATAAACAGAATAAATTTTTTGCATTAATCTAATATAACATAAAAATAGTAACCGTATTTATGCGATTATTGCATTTAATAAAAAGTTATCAGCTTTGCAAATGAGGCGAATTAAAAACATTTTCCCCGAAAAACACTTGCTCACACACAAAAATCTAGATAGGAAGTTTCGAGTTTTAACGGGAGATATTTAGCCGGTGCATCAATTTTTGCCACCGTTCTAACGACGCGGTCGAAAACATCGCGCTTCCTAAAGCGACCATAAATCTCCGACAGTGGCCGGCCAAAGCCCGAAATCCATTTCATGCCATTTGCGACGCTACCCGTGTAATACATCGCGCATTCATGGTGATACAATGGTTCGTAGTTTTCGTTCCGGCTTAACGATTAAGACCGCAAATATTTCAATAGCTGCATGTGCAGTAAATATTTCAATAGTTGTAAATTTTAAATAATAAAAATTTGAATATGCGATTTTCATTTGAAATATTCAATACAAGATATATTTTAAAGTATTGAGATATTAGAAAATAAATATATTTCACTATTTAAAGTATACTCGTACCCAAAAAGAATGTTCGCAGATTTGAACCATTTAAATATAAACTTTTTTTAAAATTTAAATATAAAACTTCATATCGTGGAGAAAAGGAGTATAGAATAAAATATAAGAATTAATAGTATAATGTCATAAATATTGTGTATGATAAATTTTAACCACTTTTTTCTCATAAAAATAAAGTAATAAATCTTTATATTTGTGGATTGAAAAAATATTTATACAGAATTTCTAAATTTAAATCCGAATGCCAGTGATATTTGAACATTCGAAATGCATTTGGAATCCGCCTCGATAATTCTATTTTAGCAAGAATCACATTTTAGTAACATTGACGAAATTATTCATCGAATATTTCTGCCAATACCTTACAAGAGGAAGCGAACGGAATCGAACTCGTCACCTCCAACTCACTAAAAGTTAACCTCATGATCATGTTTGATCGTTATATAAATACAAATTTAACATTTATTGTGTATTAACAGACAGAACAAATTTGTTTTTATTAAAAATGTATCAGTTAACTTTTTTACTGCAACACATAGTAAATATTATATAAAACATATTGCGTAAATAGAAATTATTTTAAAAGTAAATCGGTAAATTCAATTCTTGTTTATACGTAATATATTTTATTTGGGAAACTACACTGATGTCAAAATACCACAGGTTGTTTTGCAATTCTTTTTAAAGAATTTAGTAGTATGTATATAAAATTTTCAAAATTTTTATACATTGTAAATATTTATAAAAATCTCAAATTAGTGTTTTTAAATATAAAAAATAAAGTCTTTTAAAAGAAGCATATTTATATTATATTTAGATGTTTTAACTTTTTATTTTTATATTTTCAAGTATTTAAATGGTATTATAAAATATTTACAGTAGTTTAATATAAATTAAATTTGATCTTTCCAACATTTACTAAGAATGCTAATATTACGCTTTCTATTTTTATAAAATATAAACTTATAAAAAAATATTGTGTTTACATGATTATTGTATATAATAAAAAATTACCAGCTTTGTAAATTTGGTGATAACGATAAATTTATATAATGGCAATGTTGCAAAATACTTACCACTTGATGTATTGTCATATTCTCACCAATTTTTTCATTCTTAAAAAATTCATTAACGCGAATTTTTTCATTCTTAAAAGATTTACTACTACAAATCGATCAAATAATTGTGGTTAATTACAGTCGCGTACAATTAATTAACGACACTCCGGAAAACTACTACGCGATTTCAACACGAGTGAAAAATGACAGATCGAAAATACGTGTGTATTAGCCGCATATAGACGTCTATAAACGTCTATTTGATGTCTATTAGACGTTTCTTCGATCTGTATTTCTCCCTGAGACGGTTGCTCATTTCCGACATTTTGTTAGCACACGAACCACTCAACACACGAAAAATTTGAAATAACGAGCAGCAACTTCGCGTTTCTATTGAGAATCCCAAGCATCATCGAAGAACAAATAATCGACTGACGTATTTCAATCAATTCGAAAATCCGCGACACTTGTCTGTTATTTCATTCGACACTCGTCCACGAAATTCGCTCTCATTGCAAATAAATGTGCAGAATAAATGGCACGATCTCACAGAAACTCCAAAATAATACGACGCATTGGACAGTGATTACATGTCAGAAATGAGACGCGACCATTTGTAACTATGATCGCGCCTCTTCTAGCATTACTGGTGATGACGTCACCTACTACGCGAGTCAAAAGAAAGCGTCGAGTCATCAGAAATGTGTTAATTAAAGAAAACTGATATTATAGTTGTATATTTTAGTTTAAATAATCAAAATATATGTTGCACACATAATATAATAACATATCAATTTAAATTGCAAAATATTATAGCTCAATAATTAGATATTACGATGTGATTATTATGACTTCATATGATTAGTTAGTAGTAGATTACAATTAAGTACTACTTTAATTATGAACTGTTGAATGCTAACTGTATTAATGTATGAATTATTAGTGCACCTATCACACACACACACACACACACACACACACACACACACACACACACACACACACACACACACACACACACACACACACACACACACAATCAAAGCATAGAATTATACTAATTAACTATCTTTTAATTTATTACATTCAAACGTGCCGTGAATTTCAATTTTAGATACATTGCTCATCTATTTTCTCTTTGACTAGCGTAGTCAGCTAACTGATTCGTCACACATAGATGCAAGTGCTATGTTTCGCTCTGCTCTGTTTTTCTCATCAAGAGCAAATTTCGCATGCAATCGAGTATTCGGAGGGCTGTAAACGACAGGCAATTGTCCTAAAGTGTTAATCAATGCGAACGATCGTAAGTGAGAGTGATATTTGCAATCGATGTGTATTCAATTCAGCGCGGCATATCAAGCAATTTCATTCGTCAAGGCACATCGTTTCGCAATGTAAATGTAAATACAATGCATGTGATTATTGACAGCATGAACTAATATTCACGAATTAATTAAGATATTTGTGAATAATTATTTGTTTTTCTTGATTCTAGTGATATTTAGACTTGCGATTGATACATTGGCGAACGACGCAGCGCATCGACATGAAGTTGCCGCAAATTGTTTTTTCTTATAGTGTCTTCTAGAAGTGTGTCCAGTAAACACAAGCTAACAGTAACATAACGTCAATGTTATAATTTTCCACTCAACAATGTAACTGTAATACAACATGCCTTGTACGTAACAGTTATATTGTTGAGTGGGAAATAATAACATCAATGTTACGTTACTGTTACTTTGTGTTTACTGGGTGCTTACATACTTGGAGAATGCCGTGTGAAGTCGCGATGAACGATTGTGTGTTCCGCATAATTTACATCCGTCAAAATAAATAAAAACGTGTCGTGCGTGTGATGAATATCGGGAGTGCCGTACAAAACGAGTGATTGCCGATTATAATTGGTCACGTTTCTCTGCGACCGGCTCATAACTACGCGAGTGAGTGTTCAAAACAATGGCCAGGAATGAGATGCAAAAGGTGATGAAGAATTACAGGATCAGAATTGAGCTGCAGAGAACAGCGGTACAGTTCATCTACTTCGGTGCATCGTTTGGTGAGTAAATCTGACATTATATTCGTATGACTATTGTTCATCTGTTCTCTTTGTAATAATTTGACATTTTTATTCGTATGACGGTAATAATCCGCAATTTGCCTCAAAATGATAAAACAGAATTCTGTATGAAGTTCTACATGAATTCTATGTGATGTCGCTCGTTTACAAGATCAGTTTTACTCGTTTTACTTCGATGTACACTAATAGGTGGCATTGTAGTGCACTATATAATAGTAAATAAGTTGCAGAAGAGCTAAAATAGTTTAGATTTACAGTTATTAATAACAGAAAAAGCTAAAATATTTACGTAAATCGAGAAAATTTAAGGTAATTATAATTGTTAGGCGATAAATGGTGATACAACATTAGTTATCGATTTATACATATAAAATAGGTTACTTCTAACCTATACAAATTACGTATATTTTTTACATATTTAACTTTTAGATTACATTATGATATCTCGTACAAACGGTTTCTTGACTTTTGTACGTTATTATTCGGCACACATAAGACGAAGAATAAAATGGAAAGACGAAGCTGGTAATCCAACAGCTGTAAAGTACGAAGGAGTTACGTACTTTCCAAGGTTGGGTGAGATTATGTTACACAGGGTACTCGTGTTTTAATCCTTTTAAAAGAATTTTACTGTTCAAAATATACAAAAAACATTTATTATATACAAATAAATTATAATTATCAATATCAATATTGAATTACAATGATCTTTTACATCAAACTCAAAATATACACTTCTAAGATTGATATGTCAAATAATTTCTAATATTGTTATGTAACTACAAATAAATAGAAAACAAAATAAATTTAAGAGGATTAAAGCAGCAAACATTATGCAATTAATAAATCTTATAACTACCTACTGATTTGAGTTCCAAAACAAATTTGTAGAACTCCAGATCATGTTGATCCACCATTTAAGCCTAGCAAGCTTTTAATGGTAAAACGAGTAAAACCTTTCTGGGGTAATCCTTGGTGGGAAAAAGAGACACTCAAAACTCTTGGTCTGGATGAGGAGGTAGTTGAAATAATGCTTATAGTATAAGATGACAAATTCTTTATTTGCTTAAGTGTTACTCTTACAGAAAATCGGTCCAGTGATCGTTAAAATATACCAGAGACATGTGGTTTGCTCTGGAAGGTAAAGCACCTGGTAAAGATCACTCCTATAAAGTTGCCTGACAAAATGCCAACCATGGATGATTTAAATGGCACACATTTACATGAAAATGGTACATTCTCTGTTATACCAAAAGTAGATCCTGTTCGTATAGAAGCTACAGAAAAATTTGTTAACGATCCAAAAAAGATGAGTCACGATTATATACAAGAAAAATTAAGACTTAAGTGGTTAGCAAGAGGTCTATAATATAAATATTGAATAAATGTTGAATTTAATAACAAAAATAAAATTTGCCAAAGCAATTAATCTATCAATTCTATTTAGTTTGATTTTATCACGATCATCTGATCTAATCACTCATTTAGAAAGCTTAACAATTCCTTAATAATCCTTAGCTACAATTTTTTTTATTTTTTAAAATATCCTATAAAAAGAGAATTGATTGCACAGTCTGTTAGAAATATCCTATAGAAAATATATAGAAAAAATAATAAACAAACAAATAATTTTGCGCTTTAAGAGGTATAAAGAAAACAGTTGAACAAATAATATAGTTTATTTATATTTTGCATATGTGGTCAATCGACCGGTTTACAACCTACTAACAATAATGTTAAAATTTGAATGTTTTATTTAATCCGTAGTTTTTCTAAAGTGTCCCATATCCCCGGATCCCATAAAATTGTTCCATTAATCTTAACTTTATCTCAATTTTATTAAATTAAGAGAAATTTAATCCGTAAGATATTTAACGCTTAGAATTAGTAATAAATCATGCGACTAATGATGCCTGCACCAAATTCTTATTAAAATAGATGACTCTAATTTTATCAGAGTCTATGATTGGAAGCATGTCCGGTGGATTTGGAACACTTCATTGGCGGGAGCAAGATCTATAAAGTTCCTCGCAATAAGATTTCGTTATCTCTTGAATCTTTTCGGATCGCTGTCAGCCGAAAGATTCAAATAAACACCGACACGCAATAATATGATAGATTGAATTAAATTTAAAATTAGATGATTATTGAATAATACAGTGACGGCTATAATACAATAATAAGATAATCTTGGAAGTTATATTTAAGATTACATTATTATTATATTAAGTTGCCTGAAAATCGATTTATATTTGCTTCAACTCTTCAAATGAAAAATAATCCGCATAATGTCTAATATCTCGCATAAGATATCGACAACCTTGTTGCGGGATACCTAGTGTAATAAGTGGAAGATGAGTGCCGCTTTGGGTCAGTCGTGCGGACCTATCTAGATACAGTGTTCTAAATAAAAACCGAAGTTCAGAAAAGTCTAGACTTCGCGAGCGAGACTCGTCGATCTCAACCGTCTATCAGCCCCGAATGATCCGGAAACGATCCGCTAGGCCGTGTCCAGAGGACGTTCTGTTCTGTCCCAAATTTAGCAAGCGTACTAGTAGCGCGAGATTCTGAAACTGTACTCAACTGACTAATCCTGAAATCGCCTTCATCGATGAAGGACTCCGCAATTTTTATTCCTTTGCGATACTAAGGAGTGAACTAGATTGAAACTGTAGTTAAACCTAATCAGCTATTCGTACTTACTATCATTCTATGAAAACAATTTCGGCCTCGTATATGCTCGAGCGAAATTCAAAAAGTCAGTAACGCGAACGTTTTGGAAGTCCTAGTAATGGAGAGACAGTGATCGCCGTCCTCTTTCGATCTTTTTTTTTTTATTTTCTTTTCAATAAATCTATTTTCGGGTTTTATTTTTTGAGCGACGGTTTACTCGTGCATCATATCTCATGAGCTCTCAGTGCAGTGGCATGTTCAGATATACTCGTATGTTTGCAAAACCAATCGTCCTGTATTTTATTGTATCACTTTATCTTTCCTGACTAGCGCGCAATATTAATATTATTAATATTTTATAACAATATATAATATTTAATATATTAATAAACCCATTATATGTGGATATTATTAATATATTCCATATTTCTCGAAATTAGCACACAAGTGTGACTTTTACGTGAATTTAACGCATGAAGTTAAACGTTAATATTACATTTAATAACGATAAACAATTATTGCAAAAATGATATCGCCGATAGTTATGTCTTGTCGCGCAGAGCGACGTGTGCTCGATAGCAGTAGACCACCCACGAGTAAAACATCACCCACGACTTTTTTATGAATTTACGCGGAACTGGTTCGTCTTCGATTGCGCAATTTCCAGAAGCGCCGGTCCCTCGACGTGTGATGAATCGAGATCGTGTTCTGCGCCGTTCTCGCGCCGCTCTTGTCCGGCATATACATTCTCAACAATCGCGCCGCCCTCTCCTCCTGCGATCTATCCGCCGCTTTTCCGCTCAAGAAACTCAACAGTTTCATGCTCCGTCTCTTTAGTCTTAACCTGTTCAAGAAGTTCGTCTCGCTGGTGCTAGGCGGACTTGCCCTTCCGTTCTGATCGTCCGAGTCCTCATCGAACCTCCTCGATCTTCTCAGTTCGAACCGTCTTCTATTTCTATGTCCTCTCCTCTCGCTTGTCTCTTCGGAATCTTCCCTCTGCATTATCTCCCGCCTCCTCTCCGCGTTCATCTTCTCGGCGTTACGCGAACTGGTCTCTTCTGCTCTTCTCGCGACGGCTTCCAATTCCCTCAGACGTTCGGCCTCCCTGAAACTCCTGGAACTAGGAGAACCGGTCGCTTCCGATTGCGCGTTCGCGTCCGCGTCCACATCCGACAGCTTGCGATGTAGATCGACGATCTTTCGGCGAAACTCCTCGTCCTCCTGGCTCAGCTTGGCGAAGACGCGGTCACGCTCATCCGCGTTCGCACCGACGCTCGACTTGGACGTCGTTTGAAACCGCTGTCACCACCACCCGACCTGGTGCTTGCCGCTGCCAGGCGAATCCTCTTCCTCCGGCAGCGGCTCCAGCCGTCTCCTGCCCAGGAAGCAGCGCAACGAGCCCAGACTACCGCCGCCGCCCAGCAGCTGATCCATGCTCAGCTCCGGCAGCGAGCAGTCCTCGTTCTCCGATTCCTGATCGGCGTCATCCTCCACGGACAGGTTTAGGCCGTAGTTGTCCTCGCCGATGGCGCTGGCGCCACCCGCACCGCTGCTACTGCAGCCGTTCGGCGGCGGCTAGGGAAGTCAGGTACAGCTCGGGCTAGTGATTCTTTGCAAAAAGAAAAACAGAAGGCAAGCGTTGTCATGCAGGCAGGCGTGCGAAGCTTACGGGCTATTATTGTTACTGTGTTTCCATGTCATAAATATCTACACCGAGACACTGGGGCTTGTATTAATAAATCAGAAACAAATTGGAAGCATTTTTTGATAGATGATCATGAAATTAAGATAATTAAATTTAGGATGAAATTTTTTAATTTATATTTTAAATTTAGCTTAAGATTAAGAAATTAGCTAAAACGTAAAATTTAAAGAATAAGATTATATTAAAATCTAATTACCTTGAGATAAAATAATTAGATTCTAAAAATATTTTAGTAATTACATTTCAGATTATTTTAAAATCTAATTATTTTAAGACAAAATAATTAGATTTTACAGTAATTCCATTTTTTATAAAGTATTAAAGTACGTTACTTAAGTATATTACTGATAAACCCTCGCCGAAAAGTGTCTCGTGTGGCAATTAAATACAGTTTCTGCATTTATTACACTGAATCTATATCTATGGATTATTAAAAAAAACCCCTGGTCTAAGCGTAGATGTTTGTAATTCATATCCCATATTTAGCGCAAAATGTGACCTTCCGATTCTGCAGTTTTTCTATTTCAAATATACAACTGGTATTACTACAGATTAAAAATTGCACATTTAGCGAAAAATGTGAGGAATGAATGTGAGCCACAGTCTTCGGAACATCTGTAAAGATTCCTTTGAATGCTGGCCATGTAGTTACGTGTGCATTAAATTCTGCAACAAATCATTTTCAAATCATATAGAATGTGATCGTAATTCTTACATTTACGCGGAGTGCAGTTTAGGTTTTGCTCCAGAGCTAGACATTTCATTTTCAAGCAAGCTTTTATAAAATTTATAAACATAGTGATACGTATCAAGCGGTCATTATTTATAATGTACAATGCAATAGAATTTGTAATATAAACTGTAACAAATAATTTTTATCAAAAGCTTATGCAGTATTCAGCTTAGAGCTTACAAATGTTTATAAATTTGATTGAACAAGCATCAGGAAAAATTAAAGTATCTTAATAAACAAAATTGGTTTGCGCAAATTGAAGAATTTATTTCTAACCTATATTTTACTATTACATTTTATTAAAATATATCTATATACATATATATTTTAATAAAATTAATAAAACTTATTTATTTCTTAATAAAATTAATAAAATTCTTGTATCTTCTAATTTTTATTATATATTATATATAACTCTATTTTAAAAATATAGATTTAACATTTTGAAATAAGCTCTTCAATTGTAACCACTGTGATAGTGATCACTATAATGTGATAAAATTTCTTGCAACGTCGGAAATTGGTTGATATACAGCAGATCTCCAAGCTTTAGCTATTATTTTCAAATGCGAATATTGTGTGTCGGTAGTCACAAACATTATTACCGAATTGGCGGTAAAACTTTCGTCGTCCGGCCCGCCGGAGGTCGGTGTGCCCCAAATATCGTCACCGGAAGTCGCCCCAGACGTGGTGCCTTCCTCGTCGTTCGGATCCAATGAGAATTCGGTTCGCTCCGGCGGTACCGGTGGTTGAAGAAGATAACCGCCGACTCCTTCGCTGAGTTGCTCTAGCAAAACCATCTTACTGACGACGTAACTGCTCGCTCGAGCGGTCCACGCTCTCAAGCCGGACGGCGGCGACTCTAAATCCCGGTTGTCGTCGTCCGCTTGCTCGTCCAGCTCGTCGTCCTGATCTAGACTGCTCATCGTACCGAATCGCCTTAAAGCTCTGCGCGGAAACGATCGTTAAGAATGTGAAATCGAATGCTTTTTATTAAACCCTTTATTCAAAAATGAATAGTTACCAATTCTCAGATGAGTTTTGCAATGGCTCATTTATCGATGAATCATTACAGTTTCGTGAATTCGCGAAACAATTTTTGTATATTGGTTGGGTGTTTGTGATTAAACAAGTTCAATAAGTTTATTGTACTCTGCTTCTGTTTTCTAATAATTGATGAATTATCAAATCTAGACGTTGATATTTCTAATGTCGTACCTGTACGGGGGTTCTCCGTCACAGTCGAGATCGTCCTCGCTGCCGTCCTCGGTGTTACCATCCGCAGGTGTGTAACTAGGACTGTTACGTCCCGGACTGTCGTGCAGTCCATTTCGCAGTCTGTGTCTCGTGCAGAGATCAGGGGTCGGTGGAAGAACGGAAATTTTCGGGGGCAACGGGGAAAACGGATCCCTTTGTAACGGCGGCGTAGGACACCCCGATCTGCAATGAACGATCACAGGCCGTTATTAAAGTCGCTTAACAAAATTAACAATAATTTTCAGATTTTTTACTCCAAATATTCGAATAAAAAAGTATTTAAATATTTGATAAAAGTGATAATGGAGTTAAAATTATTACCTGTGACATCTTCGGCAGATACTGATGGAGCTCGTCGAGTTCTCCTTCGAAGACATGTGACCGTTTTTCCGTGTCACGCTGTTCGACTTCACGGTACTTAGACTAGCGCTCGATGCAGTGCTCTGTTGTTCCGCGTCGGAATTCCCCGTGGTAATTTCCTCCGTCGCCGTGTCCTGACTGGTCGATCTGCTGTTACTCTCTCGAGGAGCTCTGGCCGCTAACTCCTCGGCCGTCCATTCCTCAAGAGAGCCTTCATGATCTGGTGGAGGGATCTGATGCGAATTGCGCACCCACTGGGCCAGATGATTGTTCTCTCGAGAGTTCTTTAGGATCGTCTCTAGACTCCCTCCAAGTTGCGATTCCTTCTCCTCGTCAGGTTGCTGAGGCTCCGGCACGATCTGTTCACATTTAGGCATTCATTTCAGGGTTTCAAATTTGAGTCAGCTTTTTATATCGTTATTATATTTCAAATTAGACCATTGTTATATTTAATAGCCATATTAAAACGCTGGACATGCTCTATCATGCAAAAAGACTGAATAAGCCGTTGAAATTAATTCATCGAAAATTTATTTATCTCGGAAAATTTGAGATTAAAATGTTTTTATTAAACTTTTAATTTATGTTGTATTCTGCAAAGAGTTGCATAAATAATAATATAAATATTAGTATTTTTTAACAAAAAATATGTCACGCGTCTAAATTATAATTGTCGGGACAAACTTTTTCCTCACTTTTTAAACTCACCCGCGGACTTTCCGTGGACTCTCTAGTCACGACAAAGTTGCTAACGATCGGACTCTCTTCGGGGCTATTCTGATCCGGCGAGCCCAAGTCACAGCCTGTGTTCACATAGATGCTGGAATACAATGAAAATTGACACGCGTAAATACCGTTTCTTTTTCCGTACATTCGCGCGACTCTCCGCTCATACTTTGATTCTAAAAAATTCTCACGAAATACGCATGTGCTTTCTCGTTACTCACATTTGCCGTTGAAGAAGATTGTGCCACACGGCTTTGAGCTCCGGGGTGGGTGCTCGAAGAATGATAACGCGTCTTCGGAGTCGACTGTGAGGGCTGCAACCGCCGCTGTTCAGCGTCTCGACGTTGCTGTTTTCCGCGCTGCTATTTATCGTGACTTGCAGTCGAAATTCTGTCGGTCTTTTTCGCACGGTGAAACACGCTTCGGCGATACTCGACAATCGCAGAGGCTCCTCGGTAACGAATAGCACGCGATCCCGTGAGACCCGCGCGAACACCAGAAGATCAGTCAGTAGCAGCGCCCAAGAGGGCTGCAGACGCGCACGACCTTCTACCTTAGCGAGAGCGCCGCCGAAGAGCCTGAAAAGGATTTTCCATTTTAAACATTGCATTTCAAATTTTAACCAAAAAAAAGTTAATTGCAAGCTATTGACGAAATCGATTTAACTTCGCGTTTTGCAAAATTTTGAGGATAAAATACTTAAATATAAAAATAACAATTGACGAATAATTAAAAAACTTGTGCTTTATGGAAATAATAATAAAGTATGATTTACATCTTGATCGAGAAAGAGTAAGGTTCGAATTCACGAAAAATATTGAAAAAGTGGTTTACAGTATTTACCATTGTCTTCCCGGCATCGCTAAGGTAAACGGCTTGCATCTCGCAAATACCAGTCGAGACTCCACTTCCTGCAAACTCAGCAGAGGTCTTCCCGTGTCTCGCGGCGGTTCCATAACACCCGCATTAGCCGTAGCTTCTCTGTAGCCTTGGGCCAAATCCCTAGCTTGCTGACAATTCCGCGGGGATGCCTGGCCCAACAATCTCGTCATCTCTCTGTAAGCACGAATTTACTACGAAAACGGTACGGTTTTCTCTTTTCCGATGCTACAAATACTGAGGAGATTACTTTGTTAAAAATTTCTCATAATATGTTTGTTTTTCAAAATTTGAATTATGACTAAAAATGCTAATAATTTTCATAACTCAAATGTTTTTTTTTTTACATCGAGATTTTTATAACAAAAAAGTGTTTAAAAATATTGAGAATTGACGAGAAGTTCTTATCGGGGTGATAAGAGATTTTTAAACTTATATTACAGATTTATTATAATATTGCAATCAATTTAATTGAGCTTTGTTTTACATCGAAACATGTTTTTTGTTCAATGAAACTGATCGAAAAGCAACTTAAACTTCCTTTCTGAAAGTAAAAACGATTAATTAGCAGAATTGTGCCAACCTGTAGTGTTCTAAGGGTAGAAGTAGCACCCCGGTGAGGTCGGGACGTCGTTTGTGTGGCACGGCGGGTTCACAGACTAGCTTGGCGAAGGCCGCGTTCCGTCTGAGAGCGACTAGGAGGCAACAGGCACGTTGTAGGCCACTGAGGTATCTTCGATAGGCAGCTGTGATTTTAGGAACTCTGCAGAGATAACTATCGATACCGCCGCCCTCGTCTCTGATCTCCTCGGACAGCTTGAGCAGCTCGTCCAGGTTTTGAAATAGGATTAGGTAGTCCGCCGCTGCCAGAACGTCGCGGTGCTCGCACAGCGGAATCATGAAGCGCGTGTGGCCGCTCTTCAGGACTCCCCAATATCTTGCCTCTCGTACAGTCAATTCCTCCTCGGGTGGCGCGTCAGGTACCAGATTCGGGAAGATCTGCTCGAACGAATCGCGAAAGAATATTCGTTGGTTTTTCTAGAAAATCGGAATAGACGGATGCCTATTTTGGAGGAATTGGTGATATTTTAGTTAGAAATTCTTACGTTCTCAGAAAATACATCAATCTCGTTACGTTGAACAAGCAAAGCTAATAATGTATATCTGCGAGTAAGATAATGTCTTAACTTACAGCTTGGAGTAATGCGCGTGTAATAATGTATGGAAAGTGGTGCTTTGTTCTTCGATCGATGTCTTGTGTTATATTAAGTGGGCCGTACTTAAGCGTAAAGATCTAATAAAAGATTAAACGAAAATGGCTTGTCATTGAAAATTGAAGTATTTAAAATAATTTTCAATAATATCTGATATTATCGGTAAATTAATATAAAAGCAATATAATATTCGCAGGCTTTGAGAACTTTTTCATTCGATCATAGAACGTGAAATATAGACTTGATTGCTTTTAGAAGAAAATTAACTTTTTAACGTTGAGAAATTAAATCAAAGACAATGATTTAATAAGAAAACTTAGGAAAGTGTATGATGATTAAAAATCGTAGGATATGAGGGTGAGAAGGGTGTAATAAATCAACAGAACGCATGGTTGGAAACAAAACTTGTTGACAACAAAAAAGAGCAACCTAATCAAGGTACAAAACATAACCGCATCATAACTTAAACGGCATCTTCCACGCGAGAGATGCGCGCGCTATACACTACACGCTTACAAGTAAAATACAAAGGCAGTGAAGAGGAGAAGAAAGGAAACAATGTACACAGGTGTGTGATGCCCCTCATACGCTTCTCGTGACAAAACAAAAAAATAAGCTCTGAATAACGCACATTCATAATGCGCCTAACAAATTCGCATTCTCACTATAATGCAAGTTTTCCGTGAAAACAAAATTTTCCGATAATCCTAAAATGCGAGACTACGTTCTATATAGAAATCTTTTCGACTTAAAAGTTGCAGAACAACATTAGACGTTTGAAATTTTTCCAACTGTACAATCCTACACCGCGCGATCTCCAGAGTATTAAAAGTAAAAATCATCAAAGTGCCTTTGCGCAATTGTACCTTGCAGTGTTGTATTATTCGGGCTGTGTTCACTATCGCACACTTTCCTTTAATGTTTTCATTAACATTTACAACACCGCGACTCATATAGTAGGACACGTATTATCGACACATCTGCAAATTCATACAAGATTTATAGTTTCGTAAAGCAGCAGTAACACGTAGAGACAATGCGATTCAGCGTATTGATAGCATTTAAAAAATATATATCACTTCTATACGATGGCGAAAATAATGAAAAAGTTGTCTCTCTCAAAATATCTTTTCGTCTTTTCGTATCCACGCTTAAAAAAAAAACATTATGTCGATGCTCGAACGATGTCGAATTTAATTACCGTTTTTCCGCGATACTGATTGATTCTGCCGTCGCGCTTAGCTGATATGCGTCCGTCATCAATTTATTCAATTATATACGTGTGATATTCATGGATTCACAAGAATAAGCACGTATAACACACGCTTCGTAGTGTCCTAGTTGTAGTTAAACGTATTTCTCGACCCGATCGATTTATCCTCACGTAGACTGAAAACTTCTTTAACTTTTTAAACCTCAATTAATTTACGATCCATGTGCGAGTATGCTTCAACGAACACAGGTTTGAGTGAGACACTAATCGGAGCAATCTTTATCGTACTAATTATTTGTTGGCACCTTAAATTAGAAACTATCACTTGTGACATAAATACAATAACAAGTTGATGTGGTTTTATATAAATCTTCCGGATCAATCGGGCTATTTTTTTTTCTTTTAAATATTTCAAACAACTTCTAGATATCCAGAAATAATCCCTATAACATATAAATAAATATTAACTATGGATATAAATACGAAAAATATTTTTACGGTGCTAAAATAATCGAATTAATTCGATCACTTTGTACTTCGGTTAAATGACGGATAACGTTACATCAACTTGTCACTCTTGTTATTCCACGCGACGTTTCTTCGTAATTAAGATACCGAAAATAGCGTCGATGAGATATCGCTATGGGTATTTAACATTTACACGAGGACGCCGGTACCGACCTCGGCGTTGAACGTGACCGCGTGCTGGCTGTTAGGGCCGGCGGCAGCCGCGGGTTGTTGAAGAGTGGCGTTGACTGAACTGGGCCTGTGGGTGCTAGACGACTGAATGCCACCCTTGCGATACACCTCCAGCACTAGCTGATTTGTCGCGGCCTGGATGAGGCCCAGAATCTCGTCCCGCGGCCTCGTCACGACATTCGTCGTCTCGACGAAAACCACGTGATCACCTGGTCGTAGGCCGGAACGATCCGCCGGGCTTCCCGGATCCACGCGCTCCACCCGAGGCGGTCTGCCCCATGATAACGAAAATCCCCATGGTATCTGTCAGAGAGATGATGAAACATTTAGTTGGCGAAGTTGGTTAATTCTGATAAACGTAAAAAATATCGACAAATATTAAATATAAAATTATTTTTAATCTACTTTTAATTGTATTATTTCATAACATACTTTAATCTTAGAAACAAATATGGAAATTAAAGATAAAGTTTGGTAGCGGTTTATTTATTCGACATTTGTGGAATATCGAGTGCAGGAGAAAAGTATATAATTTTTGAATTGCTGTACGTGTTAATGCTGACTTTATTTGAAGCAATCACGTGGCAAACGCACCTGATTAACCGAGGTTTGTCTTATCAGCCTTCTTGTAATTGTACACGGTGTTCTACCGCCTTTCGCGGTGAAGTTCGGATGTAGGGGTAGGCCTGTTAAGGGATCAAGCGGTTCCAACTCCAGATGCCTCAGATACATCAGATCATCTGTCCCTGAGTTATTATTATCTTGCTCGCCATCCTTGGATAATGGTGGCGACACGACGCAATCCTGTGGTACACCCGCGAAAGGGGTGCTCGTATTTCGGACGGATCCGCCTTCTAAAGGGTGCCATGTCGCTTCCTGCAAATCATTATTTCCCTTCCCTTTTAGTTTTTTCGTGGTAAAAGAAAATACGAGCACTTTACAAATATGTCTAGTATCTTATTTAATTTCTGTAAATTTAATTCAAGAATTAGAATATTTATACGAAAAAAATACGCAAAACTGCAGTGTTTAGTGGCGTTCTATTAAATCTCCGCTACAGAAAAATTCAGATTTATCAAGAATCCACGCAATATCTCTAAGATATCCAGTGAAAAATTTATTTATGTTAGCTAAGGCAGTTTTTTTTCGAAATATAATTATAATAAGAATTATAATACAATTTAGTAATATTTTTATCATATCACTATATAAAGATATAAAATAAATCTACACAATCGCAATATGTTACGTAAGTGAATGTTGGCTCCGGAGCGAACATATTTAAGATATTGCTCGGATGATCAAAAATCAAGTGATCCGGCATCAGATAATGCTCGTGCTCGAGACGAATAATTCACTTAACCCTGATACAAAGGGAACACTTTAGGACATTGATATTGCAAAAGCCGTTATATTTTAATGCCAGAGCTGGAAAAGTTAAATTATGAATTTTGCATGGAGTGAGAAAAGTATCAACTTCTTGAAATTTGTTCGGCTAATTTTCTACGTATTAGCTTATTAGGCTATTAAAATGTAATTTATTTTCTAACTTGTATTCAAAGCATTATATAGCAGCCGACGCGTTTGAAAACATATTTCGATCGAGTACCTCAAGTAAATATTATATTGGAAATTTCGATATATTTACTTTGCTCTGGGAAGGATAAGTTTCTCAATAATTTATAGCAAAAAACTTTCTTAAATGCAACTTCAATATTCGGAGGCTAGTATATCAGCAAACTTTAGTAGACATCTAAACACAGCTGGCAAGTGCAATATATAGGCTGAAAATAAATCTGCAGCGAACGTCTCCATCGAGACTCTGCCGAATAAATACTTAATGTTTTGACGCTTAGTGTCGTTCTCCAGGGAAAAATGAGCTTTTCAATAATTTATAACAAAGAAACTTTGCCGAGACGCCACTTTCAGTATTAATGTAACAGCAAACTTCAGCAGACGTCTCTAGATATATTCCATAGTACGGCACACTCGAAGCGAATCGAGGGCGGAAGCCTCTCGATCGAGTGTCTCGAATGGATACTCGAAGTTTCACGATATTTACCTTATCTTGGGACAGCGGCAGGGGAAGAGTCATGCAGCCCAGCAGTTCGCTACGTCTGTAACAGGGAAAATGGGAAATACACATAAATTTTCGCCTTACGAAGTAAAGTCGCGAAACGTGTGGACGCGTTCGTGTAGACGTATACACACATACTGTACGCGAGTATATGCCATCTATTCGCGAGACGCGAGAAACGTGGTGTATATACAGTGTGACCGTAATGTCTCGCGCAATGTACGTGAATACGGAGAGGGTGAAAGGGAGAGATGCACGTGGTGAACGTGGTGCGCATGTTCTCGGGGAATCGATTCCCCTCCTACCACCAAAAGAGGATGCCCAGAAATTAGTTTTTATATTCGAATGGACCACTGAAAACGCGCAATTCAAAAATGGCTACTTTCACGCAATATATTGCTAAACTTCTTTTCATTTTTTATCGATTAAGAAGCTAAATATTGAGCATTGTGCAACAGTTTTAGAAGTTCATGTAGGTTCATCGAAACTTTTGCTTGATAATAATAATTAGATCTTGTTGCGATTTATGAGAAATATAGATATGTTAAATGTAAATTCCGGTGTTTATATAAAAATATCAGTTTTTTTTTTAAATCTTTACGTTTGAAAAAATATTTTCACCGGAATGCAGAAAATCTTCATAAAGCAATCTATTAAATAAGTATTTTGTACATTTTATAATTTCACTTCAAGCTAAAATGATCAAATAGCACATCCGTATATCATATATTCACAGTATATCAATAGAATTGTCTTCGCGAAAACAAAACTTCTGTAGAACGTTTTTCCAATATCAGAAATTCCCGGAGTAGCTTAAAATTAGGTTGACTGGTTCGATTGAGCAATCCGAAGAATAAACAAGCCAAGGTCGAGGCGCGGGCGAAAGGGATCGATCGTCGATCGAATATTGAACGATGAGAAACACGCTTTCTCGTGAGCTTATCGACGAGTTTATATGTGTAAAAATAAACGTAACATTCATGGATAAACGATTGACGAGTAGAAATAAAGGAGATTTATCACGAATACGCGAATCGGAATACGTTAAAGATAGCTAAATGCAAGGCTGAGAAATTCGCTGGTTCACTGACATAAATTCCACGGACTTGAGCTCCCGTGCAGTTCGTGCTCGCTTTACGAATTCCACGAGGCTTTCCCACGCTGTGCCGCCCCGGCATATTTCGAAAGATTGCTATCTCGTACGTAGTACGAGGCATCACGTGCTTGTTAAGCCTCACGAATTAACGACGTATCGTTTACAAGAACTTTATCGGGCGAATTAAACCGGTCTGATTCGCCAGTCGAGATTAATTTCTCCGTTTCCATCCCTTTGGCTGACTATTACAGTTGGTGCAAGCAAAACAGATTATATTCAACTTTTATCGCGGCAACCTGTTTTCTCAGCGTAAACTGTAGTTGTTCTAAAATTTATGTCGAACTTATTCCCTTGTCGGCAACTTTTACTTTTTCCAAAAAAGTCACATTTTATAAAAATATTATAAAGACTGTTATGTGAAATTTTAGACTTAAAAATTTCATATAGAAAATAATTGAAGGATTCCACAGTGGATCACTTTATAATCCGCTTATTTAAGAAAGGTCGAATTAATTTTAATTTAATTTTCTGTGCATTAAAATTTATTTTCTTAAGTTTTGCAAAAAGTACATTAGATCACTATTCCATCAAATCTTTTAATCTTTTTCATATTTTTTTAATTGATCATTAGGATATCACTTTTATCTTAGGATTCTCTGAATAAAATTACAATTAATCTCCCCACAATGAAAGTTCGAGATTAGTTCGAGATTAGTATTAATAAATAAATTTACAGGCAACGGAATGTCGGATTTACTTCAAGTTTTATCGCGCTCCTGCGGTCTCGCGAGATTTACGAACTTAATCTACGTCAATAGCCTCAGTCCAGCGTCGTAAATCTCTTTGTTTATCTTTTTTTTTTCTCTTGTTTTCGCGGAGCATGCTCACCTCGCACGACGATCCCGGTGCCAGACGGCGATGTCCAGGGACGTGGGCCTGTGACCGGTGCAGTGACTGTTGTACGCCGGGCAGGGTAGTATTAGAGTCTCGCGGAACACCGGATTCGGCGTGGCGCGGTGAACCGCGGTCCTTTTAACAACTCCCTCGCCGCTGGTATTCTTCAAACTCGCCTTGACGTACGCGTGCACCGGTCCCTCGTATGCCCGCCTCAGATCTTTGCACCTTATCACTATAAAAATTTTAAACACGTGAAAAAAATATTTCATATACCACCCATTTTAAAAGACAGTAATAACAAAAGTACATCTGTATGAGGTTTCTTTAGATAGAAACACGTTTATATACACAAAGAATTTTATCCCGATAATTAATTGATAGAAAAAGAATAAAAGAATTGCAAAGAAACTGTAAACTTATATTTATACTAGCAAAAGTTTATTGCATTTTTCAAAAAAAGAAGAATGTTGCAATAACGTTTCTTCCAACAATAATTTATTCAAGTGACGGATTCTAAAATATAACAAATGCAGTAAAAAGTAATCCATCAGGTGGAATCCGAATTTAACAGAATGTATACGTAATGTTTTGGCTCATCGATATAAATTTTTCCTTAATGATCAAGCAAAAAATGAGCAAAACGTTGAGTAAACGTTGAGAGATTGAAAGTTCTACACTCGTAGTCATTTTGACAGATTTTTGAGATCCCTTGGATTTATGTTTTGTGGGGGAAAAGGAGGAACAGTCCGATAATGTGATGAAACGATCATCGGGCTATTACGACCTTTGCCCTATTTCATTTTCACTACATCTTCGCACTCCGTCTAGCTATCAAGCTTTTATCGGCGATAAAATGAAAAGGTGAAAGTACGAAGTGAGGAGGTGAATCAAAGAAGGATACTGAGAGTGATCGAACTTTTTTTAAAATCCGATCGATACTTTTATCGCTATCAAGGTCTCATTACTTATTATAACGCAACAACGTCGTATTTTCCACTACGATTACGTAACAATAACCGCGATTATATTTTCCGTATAAATACTTTTGAGAACTCGATAAGAAAACGTGAAAATAGTGTTCATAGTCTGCGCGTGAAGTGTTTGAACACGTGCAACAATAAACTCCGCAGCACATTCCGAGCGTGTTTTGTCGCCGGTTTTATTCGTTTGGCCTTATAAAGTCCGCTACATTTATTGTGAATGTGAATTCGTTTTCAGTTTTTTATAATCATTGCGTCACAATCGTTTAATATCAGCAGCTTTTATTATTACCGCTTTTGCTCTCGTAACTTTTACGTAATACAGTGACAAAGACTAATGACGATATGCTTTTTGCAACGCACAATTTGCCCAATTCAAGAGAACAGAAATATTTTATCAATTTGCATATATTGTAAATGTAGGCATAATGTTTATTCATGTATTGATTTAATAATTATTATAATTTCATAGTTTCAAATTTGAAAATTGTTAAATATTACATGTACGTGTCTCATATTTTATTAGATTTACATAAAAAATGCAGACTCTGAAATTTATTTATTTCTGTTTAGTGTAAATCTTAATTTTTGACGTACAAAATGAGGAAAGATTTAAATTTAAGAAAAATTACTTTTATTTTACATATTCAAGATTTTTTATCTAAATGTCTTTCTTTAAAACTCTACGTGTAAACATCAGATTAACTTATCTGAACTAAACATGCTTAAGACGAGACAAAATGCCAAGATATATTCATAATATAACTGGATAGAATCTTCTCATTTCTCTACGTCGGGCAAATTTTACATTGTATGTGACGGCACTGCGGACAGGAATCCCGGAGAATCGACGCTTCGAGCTCGCTCTTACGGCTGACTGTACCGCGGCACGCACTACTTGCGCCCGAGGACGTCTGACCGATGCGGCATTTGCACTAAAGCTCCATCCATGCCGAGGATTCGCGTCACGCGATTCACTTTTCGACAATTACGCTACGCGTTTTAATTAACATCAAACACCACAAGTACGATAATTAGTCGACAAATAGGATGATTTCGCGAAACACACTACTACTATTTGCTGAAAATAATGCTCTTCCCTCTGCTAAAACTTTGTCAGTTGTTGAAATAAATGTGGTCGTAGAGGAAATGTTTACACACTGAGAAGTGGCACAGCGTACAAATAGTACGAGCAGTCTGTTTCGAGGACAAAATCGTGTCACGCTGTGCTCGAATTCACCCCGCTTATCGACTCAGTCTCGTACACAAGAACTAAACGGCAGCTTCGAGATGACGAAGAAAGTGCCGCAACGAAAGTGGTTACCGCGGGATTAATCGTGGGCCTCGATTGACCGATTCTGCGGGACGATCGTAAAACGCGTCAGCCGACCGGACGTGACGTGTCTCGTGCTAAACGGATGCAGGGTAAACAAGACCGACAAGACGAGTCAGCGAAACGAGTCTCGCCGTCGTAAACGAGCGAGGACTGCGGTTGTTTACGCAAGGGCAACACGACGATGATCAATGTCGGCGGGTCTACTAACCGGAATCGAGTCGCCGGGAGAGTCTGTGGGTTACTGGCACAGTATATGCCGAGCGCGGGGTGCCGAGCACCCTCGATGCACCCCCTCTCGTAACTGGCGCATGTCTCGTGGCTGCGTAACGTCAGGGGTGAACGAGAGTGGCGAGCTACCCCATGAATACACGACGGAGAATAACGAACGTTTTTTGTAGAAATACACAGTGTATGTAGTAATATATAGATAGATGTATGTAGTAATACATAGACATATAAAAACAAATTAAACTAATCAAGCAAAAATTTATATTAAATTTTACTTTGCAAGATACATAATAATACCGATATTGAGATAATATTAGATAAATTAAATTAAATTAATCAAATAAAATATTTTACTAAGAAGAATATGATTAATGACCGAATGTACAATATAATTAATAAATATTAATAGAGTTAAAATTTCTTTCCTAAAAGGAAAGAGACATAATATTGTAATTTCTAATGCGAAATTGCGGCAAAAATTGTAGAATCTTTGCAAAGATCTATTGATAGATTCTTTTTACTGCTAGATAAAGTTATTAGCTTTATCTTTTACTTATTGCTTATCATAAATATTGAATACGCTATCTAAATAATGTTTTCCTCGCATGAAAATATAATCCACACATTGCACTCTCCTCGATCAGTCGACCACTCGAGACCACTTCTGTTTTAATATAATTAATTAATATGAAGCCATTACCAACTCACCTCGAACGTGTATATGTTCCGCCACAAGGGAGCACTCGATTTCGATCGATCCGCGACAAGTAGATCTCGTTGGCGGTTCGCTCTCGGGACTGAACTTTAAGCATCTTCTGACAGTCGCGACCAAGGGAACTTCCGGAGTTGTGGACGTAGAAGTGACGAATGATTTCGAGCTATGCAAATCGTCCATCATGGACGATTTCGGGCTGTCGAGATCCCAGGAACTCGTCTTCCTGCTGACATCTTCTTCCTTGCGATTTTCAGCGCCGAAGGACGCTTTTGTGGCTGGCATGTGCTTCTCGTCCAAAGTCGAATCTAGATCCGTTTCTAACGCGAGCTTCTTCACGTTCGGATTGACGGCTTCGACCAGCGTGTTTTGATCTTCTTTTGCCGAAGGGCTGCACGTCCTCTTAGCTCGTTTGCCATCTGCTTCTTTGTCGCCGTCCTTCCGCGGGCGTTTTCGGCGAATGCCACGTTGCCTCTTCAACGTAAACTCACCCCCGAGATCGTTCAGAGGCGACGCAAAGGCCCAGGACACCGGGGAGGGGTCTTCGAGAAGTTGACTGACCGACGATATCGAACTGTCGTTACGCGCCGGCGATTCCTCCTCCACTACTTCATCTTGCTCCGCGATAGTTTCATACGTGTGATCCATCATCTTTAAGTCCGACTGTTTTTCGCACGACGCTTCTAAGACCTTGTTCCTTTCTTCGGCATCGCCAAGTAGAATCTCTGCTACCGTTTTGCTGCCGAAGTTGACTTCTTGTTCTCTGCACACATAGTTATACGTGATCTTTAACATGATGAATTGTACACAACGTAAACGTATTAGCGCGGGATAGAACTTGCAAAGTATCTTTGGTTAATATTAATATTATTATATACTTTTCAAAGTAATAATTTTATCTCATTCACATCTTCTTATAAAACAAAAATTAAATTAATTAAAAATATAACAATAAGAAATAAATAAAGATAATTTAGTAAAAAGTAAAGAAGTGAAATGAACACAATTTACTAGATTGAATATATTTTATTAATTTGATTGGCGATTCTCAGAATAAAGCTTTTCCCTCTTTTATTCATCTAAACTATATTCTCTAATTAAATACAATTTCCAAGATTATACTTTTTATACATTTTTTATAAAATATAAATCTTTGCTCTGCTAATTGAAGACTTCATTGAATAGATCGCATTGACTTTCATTCTTTAATTATTATTCTCCTCACCTGTGAAGCACCTCCGTCACAGTGTTGTCCATATTCTCATATTCGGGTAAATCTTGATCTATCGTGAGATTCGATAGCTTGCCGGCGAGCGGCGTCTGCCCTTGCGTCGCCTTCGGCTTGAACGGACTGATTGCTTGAACAAGTTTAGTATGATAGGGTGTCCGACATCGCGCGTGAAGCTTCGTAATTTTCGCCAATTTCGGTAAATATGGTGTTCTTACTAATCGCGTCTTTTGCTCGTTATTTTGGGAATAGACCTTGGTCTTCGGTCCCAGAGGCATCGAGCCCGCCTCCATCACGTCCTCGGGACTGGTCGCCATCGAGATCTGTTGAAAAAAGTCGGAAACGTGTGACTGTAAATTCGCTCGCGCCTCGTTGACGACGTTCTGCGGCAATTCGTTCTCGCTTTGAAAATTCTTGGTACGATTGTTCATGAAAAGCGCGGGATCGGTCGGCAGGGTCAGCGCGGTGGAGCATTTGCTACCGGGTGGATAATAAGTGAGCGGTCCGATATCGTTGTCCACTCTTGGCGTGCTTTGATAGAAGCTTTCCGATACTGGAGAATTTTCCAATTCGTACGACATAGATTGCCGTTTGCTTGGTCTCAAATGTGGCTTCGTCGCCTACAAAAATATTGAGAAATATATTTCTAGACGAAAGGGAAATGCTGTATTGGCAAAGTTTATTCTTTATTAAGAGTTTATTTCTTATTATTTTTATATAATATAATATTTTATTTAATATAAGTGATGAAAAATATGCTAAAACTATTCTGCAATTTTTTAAAAAAATTACAAAATTATATATAAATACAAACTTTATGAAAAAAAAAGATCGAATTTATTATCACCTGAAAGTATGTTCTCAAGTCGGTCCCATGACTCCTACACCTTCTCCTACGGGCCGGCGTTGTCCTGGACGTGTTCGACACATTCTGTGTAGTTACTTGCCTGGTTCGGCAACTAGCCGCGGTCGGCGGAGTGTTAGACAAGTCTCGAAAAGGTCGGCGAGATGCCTTGTTCAAGGTGGGAGGACCGTGGGGTGTCGAACTGGTTGTCGATAACGATCTCGAAACCGTCCACTTCAGCATCTCTGCGCGCGAAGAGAGAGAACAAATGATTTTTAAAAATTATTTAACCATTTGCCACGATTTTTACTAAACTTTCAAGACATGAAAATGTTTTTAGAAATTATAAAATCACATTTCTCCGACATTACGCTTTACTTCATAAAATTACACAACTGATAGTTTTGCGTAAATTTAGCGAGAAATGTTTTACGATAAAAAACATTTTATCTTTAAAATCTTTGTCGTCAAGCGTAATTAATTTTCTCGTCCACCTGTTTTAAAGTGGATGTCATCTCTTGCAGAAACCACAAAACCGTGAAACAATCATCATGCCAACACATTAACCTGTTTTTTTGTGTCCCAGTCTATTATAACATTTTATTAAAGTGTCTTTTATGTCCAATTTAGTTGTTTTCGTCGCACAAAGGAAGTGCGGGGGCCGGACCGGCTGTCATTAACCTACAATACACGCGTATGAATGCAGACGAGTGCATGAATGGGAAAGTCGTTGGGTTTCGCTAAGTCTCGATTAGATTGACATCGACGTCCTGTCTTGTCGTGTCCGCCTATCGGTCTTCCGGTCGAAAGCGAAGTGATCGCGTCGCACTTAATTATGTAGGGTGAGTACACAAAGTACGATACACGAAACGCAATGAGAAACCTCGCGACGTAATCGAGAGAAGGAGAAAGAGATAGAGACGTGCACCTGTCGCGACATACGGGAAATAGCGAAACAGGTGAAAGCCGCCATACACCTGAGAGACGGTTTTACGAGTTAGCACTTGCTTAGGCACCATGCTTAACGATCCCCTAAACGGCTGTTAAAAGTAGCACCGATACTTCCTTCCCACTTTTGCTTCCCCTGCGTAATTTCATAATGAACGACGTGAAAACGCGAGCATGACGAGCCAGAAAAAAAGACGCGATCGAACGAAAAACGAGCCGAATTATTGTTTCGTTTCGGTTCTGTGGTTGTTGCATGCTGTGCAGGTAGTCGTTGATTCGCGAAATCGCTGATTCGATTAGCTCGCATGAGCGCAGATTCACCACGGTCGCCGAATTGAATCGAAGCCTTTCTTTTGAGCATGATATTCGCCTAAATCGGCTGTTCCAGATTGAAGATAACCAATATTTTCGTTGACATTGACACTTGCCCGGTTTTTACTAAAATATTAAAACTTTGCCTATTTTTACATTAATTTTTTTCGAAAAAAAATTTAATACAGTTTTCTGTGGAAGATAGAAAATGAAAAATAGAAATGAAAGCGTAATACAAAAATAATTTAACTTTGTTCAATTTTAATTAATATTTTTCTAATTTTATTTAATTTTAAAAATATTTTATGAGTAAAGTGAAGTTTTTTATTTGGTCAAATGTATTCAAAATGCTTTAGAATCTCTCATCGCATTTTCTCCTTTGCTCTAGATTTGTTTACTAATAAGTATAGAAAAAATTGTTAAACTTGCTTGTATCGCTTGAACTTGATAATATTTTTGATAAACGTTACGCATTACTAATTTCTTCACACTTTACAAAATAATTTTCACATAAACATTGCTACTAAAGTCAGACAAACTTTTTGGTTAACGCTATGTATTCTCACTTTAATATTAAATGCACTTTAATTAGAATACATTTGAAGTATAAAGAGGATGCGATGAAGACGCATTGCATGCATTCGACTAAAGAAAAGATCGTATCTGATGTCGACCCTGACCCTGAAGCAAGCTTCCTGAAGCAACCTGAAAAGTCGCGCAGGCAAAATTGCGTCCCGGACAGCGCATAAAAACGGCGGCAGCAGCACTAGCAGTAGCAGCAGGTTTTTACTTTTAACGGTTCACCGAGGGGGGTGCGACGCATTGTACTAGCTAGGTATAAAAATGCATTCATTTGCATACAGGCTGTTGCCAAGCTGCGCGCACGCGCGCGCGTTTTCTCCTGCGCTTTTTCCCCGTGCGCGCTCGCGTGAGCGTTTCTCCAAGAGGTTTCTGTGTATGCGAATGTCTGTCTGTCTGTCGCGACACCATCACCACCCTACGCGCTCGTAAAACGGTCTGGGCACCTGCCCATATGGTGGTGAAACGCGCGGTGGGTCCCAGCTGGTATCGCTGTGCCCAGCGCTAGGTGAAACCCCAATGTCGATACGTGGCGAAGATGATGGTTATCTGACGTCTATGAATTTTCTTAACGTACATACATCTTGAGAGGAGAAACTTCATGCACATGTGCCGTCTCTCGTAAAAATACGGCAACATAAAATATTTATTATGGCTTTAAATCATAAGATTCGAACATTTTCATTTTCTTTAATTCAAACGTTTTCGGACGTTTTATCACTCCTACAAATTTTTGTAAATTTTATGTGCATTTGTTTCCATGACATCTACTGGAACATTGTATAAAGCCGAATCTACAGATATTTTTATGCAATATTCGTGTATTGCTCTGAAAAAAATAAATATTTCATTATAAAAAATATATTTTGTTTAGAATTTAGAACTAAATGTACATCGAATATTATCTTTGCAAAATAAATTTATTAATTAAATTTGCAAAATTACTTAAATTCAACTATAAAAGAACTTTAGATTTCTTCTCAGATTCAGAAAAGAATTTTTGATACGAATAAAGTATTTTTTTAACAAACTTTCGGGGTCTTTAACGTCCGTAAGTGATAAATCGTGCTACGCAAAAGGATATGCGGAATACCTAAACCTTCGGAAAACCTTCGGAATGTTCGTCCCTCTTTCGAATGAATGAGTAGCGACGAAAGGTATTTGTCTGCATAATTAGACACTAGTTCGTCGTTCGAAATAAACGGGGTACGACAGTCAGACTGCACCTGCGATAAGGTATTGTTTCCGTCTGTTTCCGGTTTACAACTTTATACAATATTATAGTACACACTAAATTGTATACTTAACGTTTTACATTCGTACGTTTGAATGGAATACGTTCTTCACGCTTATACATGTTCTTGCACATCTCGAGAAGTATAAAGATACGTAAAGTTTGCCGAGTTGCAAACTCGCGCAGAAGAAATGTACAAACTTTTATTCTTTTTAAATTATTACAGCATATAGTTTTATAAATTATTAAAATATTAATAAAAAATCTCTCTCTCAAATTTTATTATATAGTGACGGTTGTTATCAAGTTCTTTATTCACGATCAAATTATCTTTTTTATTATCGCAGCAAGGCAATCTGCGAAGATTAATCCACGTGGCAGATAAGAATCTACTAATTCGATCATACACACTACCTGCATCCAAAAATAAAATCCTTCCCTTTGAAGTTCTCGCTGTGACGATAGCTTCGATTAGAATACCTGTGGCGCTCTATTAAACGCAGCCCAGGGGTTCGCCGTCGTAATTACGAGTGTGCAATAAATCTTAAGAGCTCACTATACGCGGATATAAATATAAAAAGGGGAACCATTGTACGGTCCACCTGTAAATTTAATCTTTTATATGTTTTGCGAACAAACAATCATCAAAATGTGGAGACTTTTATATTTTTATCCTTAAAAAAGAAAACAAGTGCGCAAGAGAATGGCTTCAAAGATTTGCTCCATTTAAAAATTTCGAAACAGCAGATAAACATGATGGAAGAAACTATTCAGTATATATTTTAACTTGTATTTATTTGAAGCATTAAATTATTATGAATGTTTTTTATGAATGTTTGTTAAATTATTTATATTTGTTAAAAGTCAGCAGGGGATGAGGGGGATAAATAGAAATAGATGTGTTTTTAGAAATGGGTAAAGTGATCTTTTCGCTACCTTATTGACGTATAACTCGAGAATGATTAGCGCATCAATAATTCGAGCAATAAAACTCGAGTGGAAGTTGCCCAAGGGGTAATTTTTTGTATTCGTCTTCTTTATAAAGCGGCAGACATCGCGTACATCTGAATGATGAGAAACAGTGACAAGTGCACAAAGCGCTACGGCCGTCGCGACGTCGAATTGTTCCGCGGCTTCTTGATTCCCTATATGCGCCCCTTTTATGAGCTTATAAAATGTTCGCACGAGGTTTCGGTCGCGTCGTTTGAGGTCACGTTACGAATGCAAGAATGGTCCCCACAACGGCCCGGAATAACAACATCAGGGCCTTACACCCGTCTCGTGAGTCCCGTCCCCGCTTCTGTTCCCGCAAGACGCATGGCAGGATCGACCTCGTTCTTCTATGCCGCGGAAAATGAATAAAACGGAACGACGGTTGAAACCTTGACATGCTTGCAAGCATAGTCGACAAGGACCCTCGTCTGTAATATATACTATAAAAACTGTTTTTAATAAGAAAGGAGAAGAGAGAAATTGAAAGAAGTAAACGAGATTGATCAAGGGGCGGGTCTTGCTTCTGTTTTTCTAGCGGGCCCTTCCCGGTCCTTGAGAAAACTGATTTGCAAATTCTCCATCTGCCACGCAAAACCCGAAATATGTGCATGAGAATCTAATTGCAGACCTGACAATTTTAGAACAGAATTTGGATTCAGCAAAATTCAAGCTCTTTGCTATTTGTTTCGCTTCCGTTTTGTATATTTTATTAATGGGTGAAAACATTGAATTTTGTATATTATTTGTGTTAAAATAACAACATATTATTCTCCATTTTGAAGCAAATTTAACACAAGACTCGAACAAAGTTCCAAGACATTAGAAATCATATTAGCATCTGTCTAATTACATTTTTTCGATAATATCTGAGAAAGATGTCTTATCGATACCGACATTATTGTCTCAAACAAGCAGATATGAGGAAACCGACGGGAAATAGAACATCTTTTCTCCTCCGTAGCGTTAATAATCACTTGTTGTCGAGGCCCCACGAGATTAATGACGGTCGCGGCGCGGAAACCGCCGTCACAATGCGGATTATTCACGGGCCCGAAACAAGAAAGACGGAGCCATTAACGGTCTTGATGCGCCCCTCGTGTCTCGGCATGCGGCACGACGAAAACAAGAAATACCCCGAAAAGTAGCACGAGTCGGTAAGACGAGCGGGCCCTAGAAG